AAAACAACGATGTAAAATATCCTCTAAAGATCAGCTAAATGTTCTCCATAGGAGCTTCAAGCCAAAGCAGAAAGAATTTGTGAAATGGCAGCAGTGATGTCTAAAGCAATATCCATTGATGACAATGCTGTACARGCAGAAGAGGAAAGAATAGCTCGCTTGGAGATTGAAAATCGTGGTTTRAGAGAATTACTAAGAATAAGTGGGGTTTCAGAGAATGACTTTGAAAAATGCAAAAATTGAATTTCAGGTAGAGAACTTTGAGCACTAGAAGTGTGTAAATGCMTTGCGCTTTAGTGGTAAATYTGAGTACAATTGCGGTAATTCTGTACAGAAGTTTCGTTAGTCTGTAGGATGTATTCTTGGTGTGCAACCACATGACCAGGAATCTCCTAGAACAAATCWATTGCTGCATGTTGGATGAATGAACAAGAGAAGCTTATAAGTAACGCTTTGTGACATTCGTCCAACATGGCAGCGATAACGTAACTTGCACGCCAAGAATTCTGTGTCCATTTCACTGCACTGCGCACTAGACTCATCCACAGGTATCACAAAGAGTCGCGGGTTTCCTGTGTTTTTGCTATCAGCCAGAAGAGGGAGAGTGAGAGCGAGAGAGGGAAGGCACTAGTCCCTAGCGGGCAATTGGACTTTGACAAAGGAAGCCCAAAGGGTGAAAAAAAAAAACGTTGCCTGGCGAGGAAGTTTAGCAGTGCCGTACAAATCCTACGAAAAAAGGAAGAAGCTAAGCATGGCAGTAATTGGCATGATGATTGGCATTGGATTCAGCGTGTCTAATGTTCTGCGACTATTTTTTTTTTTTTTTTTTGTGGCTCGATCCATTTGTTGCTTTTTGATCTTGTCAAAGGTTTATGTTTTGTACATAATACATTAAATGTTATCAAGAAAAATGTAGGCGCCCTCCATCCGAGACATGGGGTGTGGGATCAGGGATAAGCGTTATTTTGGGATCAGGGATCAGAGTGTTTGCTTTGGGATCAGGATCACAAGTTACTTTGTTCGGCCTGAAAATTTTCAATTATGGATGCATGTGATCAAATATGAACAAAAATTACAATTTAATCAGGGATTACAATTTTGGTCAATTAACGGGATCACCAGTAAAAAAAGCTCTTGGAGGAACAATCAGTCTTACAAACTGACAGAACTTGCAGACTAATCGGGTAAGATTAGAAAATTGGGCTTTTTGTTTTTACTTGTTTTCTTATTGGTTTGCTTTTCGTTTTTTTGTTTTGTTTGCTTTTGAAGTCTCTGACAAAAATTGTGTCTCAAATGCATATGACATAACAAGGAAGTGTATTGAAAACAAGGAAGTAAGAAAAAAGGTATTTTACGACATAATTTGCTTTCATATGTAATGATATGATCAATAGAATATTGCATGGTCGCTTGGAGATACGAATTTTATCTTCTCGTATTGAAAATCTACGTTCACTCGTGAGAGATCTTTTCTCGTATTGAAAATCTACGTTCACTCGTGAGAGATCTTTTCAACACTCGAAGATAAAATCCGTATCCCCGCGCGCCCATGTAATATCCTCTATATATTAAATACAACGCGAATTTTAATGTACACACAGACAAAAAGAAAAGCTGGTAAAAACTCGGTTCGCACGCAAAGCTTGATTTTCAAATGTGTTATATTTTTCTTTCTTTATAAACGTTTTCTAAAAAGAAGGACCTAATCACTACACCTTTCTTTTGACTTCCAAACCCTCCTTTTGTGTCTATTCTTTTATGTCACTAAAATTAATTAAAGCTAGGAAAAGATTTCTTTGTACTCAGCCCAATTTGCAATTCTAATCAGATGACGCTTGCGTGACATTTTGACAAATACAAAACACTCTCTGAAAAAGCCATTCAGAAATTCTATTGTAGAAAAATATTGAATAGATTGTTTTGAATTTTGCCCGGATATTTTGGCCATCACTCGAAAGCTTCTAAGTGTTTTCAAAAGGCATCCGTGTTCATTCGTAGATAATCTTTGTTGTTTTTATTTTTCGTCGAATAATGGAAAAACATTGAAGCTACCCATATTTAGAACTAACACTACACGGACAAATAACAAAACATTCCTAGGTAACTACATTATATGATAAAAGAAATACCTCTGCAAAATAGATATAACTGACTAGAAACCCTGTTGCAGTTCATGTGGTTTGAAAAGATATTAAAATTTAAAGAAATTTTGGATATGAGAATTCTGTTGGTTCTAGTTAGGGAAAGATATTTGCTGCATAAGCTTTGGAACCCTTCGTTGATCGATGTATAAGATTGCTAGTAGATTTGTTTTGAATATTTTATGAAATATGGATATAGGCATTATACAAAATAATGTAAAAGCGACGTAAACATCACAGGACATCACAGTTCGTATTTCATTTAGCGAAATTATTTTACATATATAWTTATAATCTTACAAGATCAGGGTTATGTACATTCACCATCATAAATACGAATAAACCTTATTCTTTTAAAATAACAATTCATAAATGATATAACATTTAAAAAAAGTTAACTCAGTTCATTGATCATAGAGAATTTATGCAGTTAATCAAACGTAGGGAAAAAAATCGCGGGAATATTTTACCGCGAAAAGTTAAAGTCCCACTCACGAGGCTCGCCAAATAAATCGATGGTAAAATCCATTGATGTACGTAAACTGTACTCCAAGGCATCCCATCCTCTTAGCTGATTTCCAATGAGTATTAACAAGCGATTCTGTTATTCCCTTGAGTCTTGAAGGATCTAATCCAGGCGTTAGAAGTCGCTCAGCCCATTGGTAWACGTTGTTATATGCCGTATCATYATCAAACGAAGTCGACACTTCAATCAGTCGATTCGGTCCTGGAATATTATCATACCAACTTGAGAGCATCCACTCGCCATAATGTTTCTCAAGAGCTGACATTTTCGATAGTTTRGACTCTTTTGGCTTGTTGAGTAGAGAGATCAGAGCAGAAGGGGGTCTTAGTCTCTGTTGCTCTTTCTATCCAGTCTAACACACAACTCGACGACGACGCYGAAGAGTTCCACAGTGTTGCTACAGACGCTAATACTGGTGTATTTACTATTTACTGATGTCAACCGGTCATCAGTTCCTAATTGGGTCAAAAAGGGGAATACTTGAGACTYTGACGTCATAAGGTACGTCACRCAGKCTTGAAATACTGATTTGTCACAATCCYCTTGGACGCRGAAAATTTCAGTAGGTCAGGAAATGTTTCAAAATAATTATGATAATGATATTTTAATCTCTTACTTTACAATGATCGTATGCATGGGCTTCCAGCAGTGTAGAAATATGATAAAGCTAGTAGTAAAAACTACTTCTCGATCGCGATCTAATTGATTTATTTTTGTATAGTTTTATTGACACAGTATCTTTATTAGTTTTATCGCCTACATTAAAGAAAAGTCACTATAGTCTTTTCGAGCGTATGGCAATCATCAATCGCATTTGAAAACTTATGTGCAATGTGCATAGTCGTCCACGTTCAAAGAGTTTTTATTCTTGTCTGTTTAGCAACTCTGGAATTTTACAGTCACGAGTTATTGTTATTCAAAAGTTTACTGTAAGCATTTATCTGGCTGACATGATCAAACGATTGTTTTATTTTTTTTAGCTTAGCCAATTATAATCGACGTGTGTACACACTTGCAGCACAATCCTGCATTGCAGGACCCTTTACAAGAAAACACTTTTATTCCCTCAAATTTTTCCTTTTTTCGAATTTTAAGTTAATTATACTGTGGTAAAAAACAACAACAACAACAACTTGGACACATTTCCAGTTGTATTTTCTCTTTTTCTTGATTTTTGAGCATTTTATGAAATTAAGAGAAAACACTATACGAAATTGATTAACATTTTATTATCAAAACTCCATTATAATGCAAAAACTCTGTGTGTAATTTAAGACTAAGGCTGAGTAAATGAGATTTCGAAACAAGAGTATTTTGCCGTTTATGTGCCATATAGTTGGGCGAAGGATGTATTTGTCGATCTACCTAACCGTCTTGTTGAGGCTGTGACAGCGKTTGYACCGCCCTCCTGGCTTTGAACTTCGCGATGCACAATGTGAAAAATAAATCCACCASTTCAAACAATGAGAGAAAACTGCATCCAAGAAACAGTCCCGCGAAACCACCGATATCAGCTTTAAAACAAACAGAGGGTAATGTACATCAGTGAATACATACACAGAAATTCAAGGCTGCATGCAAGGGTGTTGGCATATCAAAGCATTTAGACGCAATCCTAACATCAGGCAGCCCAACCTTAACGTACTTTAATAAATAAGAAAAAAATCGAAAACAGAACCGAAAAAGAATAATTGAAAAACGTCTTTCAGGGTGCGCACTCTTTGTACTTGTGAATACGAGAGAT